GGCTCAAGTGGTAGGGCAGCTGCCTAGCAAGTGTGAGGCCCTGAGTTCAAACCCCAGTATCTTAAAAAAACAAAACAAAACAAAAAAAACAACTTTGCTGGAGAGAAGAATATATAACATACTTATATGCTTTCCCAGAATGATTCTCTTTTATCGGAGATGTGCTTGAACTGAGAATCAGAACGATTAATTTAGTCACAAATGATAGTACACATTTGTAATCCAGAAGCCAAGGAAGGAAGATCATGAGTTTGAAGCCAGCCTGGGCTATTTAGTGAGACTGTATCTCAAAAACAAAGCAAAAATGCCATTTACTTAAATTGTCCAAGAATCTTACCAGGATTTGGGTTCCATGAGCAATTATTCAAAAATAGAAGACTTTCTACAAAGCAGGTTAAATGAAGCAGTAACAAAAACCAAATGAACAAACAAACAAAAAACAGCAAAAATTAAGAAAGCTAGTAATCCTAAGGGATTCTTGAAAGATATCCAGAAGATTTTCCTCTTCAGACTCTTTCTTAACTCTGGGTTTTCTTCATCGTCATTCCCATCTCTCACTTTCATCTGAATGTCCACGTACTTCCTTAACTCCCTGTACCATGGTTTCTGCTCCCTTGACTCCCCTGAGGTGAGCACACTCCTAATTGCCCAGGCTGTTAGGGAGTTTTAAATTCTCGTTTTGACTTCTCTGTATTCTCTGTGATAAGATCAGAATCCTTCTACTCTGTTCACAGTGATTTATCAAAATTTTATCTATGCAGGATAAAGTCCAGCCTGGGCAAGGTCAGTCATGATCTGACCTCCTCTGTGGTTGCGTCTGCTGCCTTCTCACCCCAACCATATGGATTTTATGTTGCTGCTAACCTGTGTTTGGGGTCTTTTATGTCTGATCATGTACCATTGTTTCCATGCCTGGAACCTCCTTTCCCACTCTACAAACTAAATCTTCATCTTTCACAGTGGCTCAAGAGTTACTGCCTTCCTTCCTTCATCATGCTAGTCACTTCTTGTGCCTTAATTCACTGTTTCTGTGTGGCTTGTTTGAGGTATGTGTTTTCTCATGTTTTTCTTTCTAGATGGTGGCTGCCCTGAAGGCAGGATTTGGGTTTCATTCACTCTCCCATAAATTCAATATCTGGTAATGTTGAACTGAACTAAATGAAATAAGGTCTGTGAGAGCACCTATTTTATACATACATGGATGGGCAAACAAGCCTGACTGGTATTACAGTGTAGTACAAAAAGAAATAGCAGAGAAAACTAAATTCGTTGACTTCATTGTTATTAAACAATTGGTAAAGAAATTCCCATTCTCAGGTTGTCTTTGAAGGAAACAGACATCTATGTGAAGAAAAAAATCACCAGCATTGAAATATCACCTGAGTAAATAAAGATCATCTTCACCTACAGGTGAAGTTGTGGAGTCTTTGGCCAAAATGTTGAGCCAGTTTTGTTTTCAAATCTTATTAGCAAAATTCTTTCAGGTAGCTTTTAGAGTGTAGTTTTCTCCTGCCCTTCTGTAATAAATAGATTAGATTGACTCGTATATAAAATGGAGCCACATCAAATGACCGAAGTAACTCTGAATTGTGTATTTTCTTTTTATAAAGCTATGAAAATTTTCCTAAAGATTTAACCCCATCCTAAATGAATGCTTTTTCAAAAGCATAACTCAGTTCCCAGCCATCTATTATTCCAGAATTTTGGAACCTGCAGGAGCAGCTGCTTCCTGCTGTTCTTTGGAGTCTTCACAGTCAGTAGTGACATGGTGACTTGAAGTTCCCAAAGTCCCTAAGACATCACCACCTCTTGGTGTGGTTGTGGCTGCAGTGAGAATAATTTGAATAAAGTTGTGTCACTTTTATGAACACATTGGACTTGTCTAGCAAAGGCAGTGAATCTGCAGGACTGCAGATACTATTCCTTGTCTCGTGAAAGTCACAGAGAAGACTAGCAGAACCCAGATCTGGGACTGTCACCTTCCCAGCTATCCAGTCCATCTCTATCCCTCCTCATCTCATTGTAGTCTGGTTCTTAGGTTCAGGTGTGTGTTGTCTCTGCTTGCTTTTACTTTCCTGATTCTTTTTTACAAAGTGATCTGGTTCTGTTTGGGCACCCATTTTCTCTTTTCTTCCTCCACAATTTCTTTAAAATGTATTACAGTAATGTATATCCCACATACAAAATTCTAACTTGGATTTTTTTTCATAGAAAACTTTGTAATAGGAAGCAAAAACCCTTTGACAAATTATTAGGTCATTCCCAGATAACGTTATTTTAAAATATTCTGCATTTTGAGAAGATGATGTATGGATCTGGTGAATTGAAATGGTTCGAGATAGACATAGAAAAGTAAATCTCTTTTCTACCCTTCATCATTTCTTCTGTCTTGGAGTCAGCTATTGGACTACTTTTACTCATTTCTATTACTTCCTTACAAAGTCTATGCATATACATGCTGATAAATCTGTTTTTATAAGATTTAATGCTTATATTTTGTCACTCTCTGAGGTAGTATTTATATCTCTCAGAAGTTGTGAGTGAGGCTGGTAGTGTTTATACTTTATGAACTATACTATTGCACATTGTTTCTTGGTGAGATAAATATTGATGTTGTATAACTGCAGCATAAGCTTACATCTGTAGATCTTCATGTTTTTGGTTAGATTTGGCCTATTTTCTGTTCTTAGTGGTGTTAAGTTTCATACTGATTTTGGTCTGACCCTTTTATTGGGAACTTAAAGCACAGATTGTTGGGGAGTGATGTGATACAGGTAACTGCATGTCCATGTTCTATTTAATATTAACCCACCGCCAAAGGGCTCTGGACACTTGTGGTTTATTCTGACTTTTTTCAAGCACTTTTTTTTTTTGCAAGAAGATATGGTTAGGATCTTGCCATACAAAGGATTTGAGATTTTCACAGGCATACCCCTCAACTTGGTAATGGAACCAAATAGCATCACCCAAGATCCTTGGCTCCCTGGCTTTAAACACCAATTCAGAATGGTTTTACAAATGCATTAGAACTCTGCCAATTGTGGAGGTAGACTGATGTAATTTGACACCTTTTATTTCCAGAAAGTCATAGTTTACCCACCAACCCCCTCCCCTCTGAAAAAAAAAAAACTTAAAAAGCTCCAGTTAAAGATCTTTTTCCATCCTGCATTTCCTCATTTTTCAGTCTTGGGTTTTCAGCCCTCCTTTCCCACCTGCTGTTCCTCCTCAAATGGCTCCAACACATTTAGAGTAGATTTAAGTTACCAGTCTGTTCTGAAGTCTTATGGTATGAACTCAAAACCCATGCATTCATGTGTGTACCATCTGCATTCCTGGAAAGCTAGTCCATAATGTATCCTGGAAAATGACAGTGAATGTGCCTGATATGATTTTGTAGTCTTAAAATAATAATAATAATAATAATATTTTTAAAAAATCCAGAATGTCTGGAAGTGTTTTGTGGGCTTGAGGCCATGAGAGAAAGCTTCAGTTTCCATGCTTGCTTGCTTACTTGGACTTACTTTCATTTGAGTATGTGTTTAATGTTGTATTATCCCAGTTTGTCTCTATTTCCATTGTGTCTAAGATTACTAGCCTTGAATCACATAGGCTAAGTGGTTCTGAAGCTTCTAGATAAAAGATGCTGCTAAAACACAGTGACTATTATTTCAACAGGAACAGTTCACCTTCCCTACACACTTTTTATTCTTTTCAAGTGCCAGTTGTATGGAAGATAGTGATGTAACTTGTTTGATGTTTTTGTTAAACATTTCTGAGAATTCTGTTGGCATGCTGTTTGAGACAGACCTTCGACAGGAGCACTGGTGCCCATTGCTAGCAGAGTACGTGCTCTGTGTTGTTTGCTGTTGGTGGTGATAAACGTTTACATTAGAAAGTACCTTTCAACCTGCAGTTGCCCAAAGCCCAACAGGAACACAACCCAGTTCAAAATTTGACACAGTCATTCTCAGCATAGCTGCCAACTCTATGCAGACACCCATCCACTCTATGTAGGTAGGAAGAAAAACCGTCTCTTGCAGAACCACAGGTTCTGTTCTTAAGCTCACAAATGAAGATCTTATATAGGGGGCAGCCCTGTCTTCCAGGTGACTTGTGATATACTCATTATGAAATGTACTCCATAATCCAATGTTTTGTAAGTTATTAAGATAAAACACATGCTTGTTGAGTGTCTGCTATGTTCTAGGCATTCGTGAACTGATTTTACAAAGTGCAGAAGACAAAGGCCAAGTTAAATGACTACTTTTGTATTCATGCTTTTTTTTTCAGATTTTTTTTTGGCAGTACTGAGTTTGAACTCAGGACCTTGCACTTGGCTAGGCAAGTGTTCTACCACTTGAGCCATGCCTTCAACCCTTTTTGCTTATTTGTTTTTCAGATATGGTCTCATGCTTTTTGCTCAGGGCCAGCCTTGGACCATGATCCTCCTACCTCTTCCTCCTGCCTAGCTGGGATTATAGATGTATACCACCATGTCCACTTTGTTTTTTGAGATAGGGTCTCACTGACTTTTTTCCCTTGGTTGGCCTTAAACCATTATCCTCCTATCTCTGCCTGCCATATAGCTGTGCCAGGACATTGCCAGCCCTTTTGCAAATTCTTACTGCAAACCTGAGGGGAAGGTTTAGACTATTCATAGGTGAAAAAGTTAGAGAGAGGTTAAATAATTAGCTTATGTATACCTTGCTAGTGAGAAAACATTTCCTATATCTGTGTACTTTCTACCTTACTATAATGTCCTCCTATAATTAGTAGCATGTGTATGTTTTAGAACTTTACAATAGCCCCATAACCCAAATAGAGTGTCCACATATTTTAGGGCTCTGTAGCAACCTTGTAATCTCAGTAGTGTAGATGTCAGTATTTTATTCTTTATATGAAGACATTTGAGTCCCAGAGAAATACAGTGACTTGCCTATTAATGGTGAAATCTGAGTAGGGCTTAAATCCACTCCTGAATTCTCCGCTTTTCTACTCAGCACTCTGGAGGCCAGTGATTTCAACACTCAGCAACATTTATCAAGTCCTCACCATGTATGATATTCTGTGCCTGATGCTATGAATTGAACCTGAAGTAAACCTTATAATTTAATGGTGGAGTCAGGATAATCAAATGAGAAAAATACCTGATGTTCAGTATAATTAAACTTTATAAGGACAAGTGGACCAGTGCCAAGACAGTGAAGTAACTATGTGTCACCACTAATCGTAAGCAGTTCAGAGCGCTATCTGCTTGAATACGCACTCCTCCCGGTGTCTTCAGGGGTAAGTACTTCCAGCCTTCACCAGCTCCCCTGGCTTCTTGTAATCTACAACCATGTCCATGTCTCTACTGTTTTAACAAAAGAAATTGACCATTGCCTCTGATGGCTCTCCTGCCTTTGCCTTAAACAATCAATGAGCTCATAGTTCTGTTGTCCTTCTGTTCTTGGTAACACTTCTGTATTCTGCTGATGTCCAGTTTGATGCTTCCAGTTGGACATGGGTAAAGTAGAATTCATCATTTCCCCTTTAGAACTGGCTATGATGGTATTTTCTTCACTAATTAATAGTCAGCTGTACTGGAAGCCCGAGGGCCAACCTTGACTACCTTCTTCCTTAGTCCCTGCAAAGCTTGCAGGGACTTCCTGAAAAACTTGCTTTCTAAAATTATCTTCAATCTGCTTCTGCTTGCTAATTCTTTGTCCACTGTATCACTTCAGGCCTTTATCATTATTGTATTTCTTTGCAGTATCTTCCTAAGTCTTCTCCCTGCCTTTAATTTTGGTTGGTATTTAATATAGAGCATAACCTAGTCCCTTAAGATAATAGATTATAAGGCTATCAAACATCATGTTTAATATTAACTCTTATCTACCCAAGCTCAGAACCAAAAGAAGTAATACTCTGTATTAGGTAGGCTTAGGTCCTACCTAATGACCAGAAAATTGAAAAATAGGTCACTGGGATTTTCAAAGATATGTACCAGTGTGGCAGCTCAGTTCCATGAAGTTCTCAGTGACACAAGTCCCTTCAGCTCTTTGCTCCACTTTCATTAGGGTGTAGTCCTTGGGCTTGTGGTCCAGTGCGCCATCTGTTTTCTGGGCAGTAGAATGGAGAAAGAAACAAAGAAGGTCAAATAGTCTTAAAAATGATTCCTGGAGCTGCCACAGAATACTTTGTCCTACAAGCTAGAACGTAATTATGTATTCATTTCTAAATACAAGTAGCTATGTGTACAATGAAATGTTCTGTTACTGCGGAAGAGGAGAATGAATTTCAAGGGACAGATATTAAAGGGTTCATACAAGCTACTTCACCCAATGATCAATCTGTCCCTTCTCTTTTAGCCCTTTTTTCAATCACTTACCACATGAACATTATGAACCAGTGAAAAGCCTCGTTATTCTTGGTTGGAAGTGACAGCTCCACTTCTAAATCTTGGAGTACTTTTTATTGTGTTGCAAATATCATATGCTAAGCTATTATTGCTGTCATGTATCTGACTGTGTAGTTCTCTAAATCATGTGGTCTCACAACAGTGTAAGTTCCTGGGGGTAGTGACCACGTATTCTGTGTCAGGCTGAGTGCCTGGTAAATAATTGATTTTCTATAAATATTTCTTGTATGAGTAAATAAATAATTTTGATGATTTCTTGTGGAATTTTAGGAAAGAAAGATGGACCAACCTAGTGGGAGAAGTTTTATGCAAGTGTTATGTGAAAAATACAGTCCTGAAAACTTTCCTTACCGCCGTGGCCCTGGGATAGGCGTTCATGTCCCAGCCACACCTCAGGGCTCTCCTATGAAAGGTAAGAAACGTGTTTACTGAAGCTTACTTAGGAAGTTTGATCATAATACTGCCTTGTTTGCAAGTGATTTCCTTTATTTTGAATTATGAGTCAAATAGTCTTTACCCCTTGTTACAACTTCTGTTTTGTTTTTTGTTTGTTTATTTTTGTTGCTTTTTAAGAACCTCATGGGACTGTTTTTCTCCAGATTGGCCAAGAAATGCTTTGGTTTTACTTATCTCTTTAGTGATAATATTTCAAGTGCATATTCTTTCAAGGAACTCAGGATACAAAATAGTACAAGGCTGGCCTGTGCCTTAAAGGGCCTTAGTAAGTCTTGGATTGGATTACAGACATTCACATTTACAAAGGTATAACAGAAGATGGTTTATGTTGAACCAAATGAATGGCCCAATGTTTGGGAAAGAAATTTAGAAGACAGTTAAATGATTAAAGGTTCAAAGTTGTGAGACTTGAACTAGCTCTTTAATACGTAGCTCAAGCGGTAGAACACCTGTCTAGTAAGCAGAAAGCTCTGAGTTCAAAGCCCAGAACACCTTTAAAAAAAAAAAAGGAAAAGAAGGAAGGAAGAAAAGAAAAAAAAATGTAGAATTGCCTAGAGATGTGACAGAAACATTTTAGAAGCAGCATTGCATGCAAGCAAAGTTCTAGACATGTGCAAGGCTTGTTTCTTGCTCATCTTTTGTCTTAATGTTGTACTTAGCAGCTCTTGGAAGCAGTCTTTTGTAATTGAAAGGGATTAATAGTGACTCATTTTAGTTTCTTTGTTGCTAGGTGTTCTCTCTCAATACAATTATCACTGCCATGTTACCTGGAATGGCAGAGAGAAGTAGACTTTTTATTTAGTACATTTTTTTTCCAGGATCAATTCCCATTCTGAGAAATTTGATACTGAAAGTACTGAAGTGAAAAACCATGTTATTTGAGACCTCCATTAATAAGATATGACCTTCATAAATCCTTGTTTTGTTCTAAAGGGGGAAAGAGTGGTTGAGTTTTCATGATTATCATTTTTAGTAGAGACAATAAGAGTGATTTTATTGACATACATATTTTTGACCCAGGCAGTAATCAGGGAGTTATCTTAATTTGACCAAATTCATCAACTATTTGAGATTCTGAAACCCTGTCTCCCATTACAGCTATATTTTGAAAGAAGGTTAATTTTCATAAGGGACAAATTATACATGGATAAAAAATAGGAGAATAATTGATAGACAAGCACAAAAGAAACAAATGCAAAGTTTTGTGCAGTTCACTTAGGTGAAGAAGATGTTTTGAATGATACGAACTTGAAGAACAAAGTTGTTTGGCAGATAAATCACCTAGTAGTTTCAAAGGCAGCAAAAGCTAAAGACACACATCAAACAGAAAAAAAGAGCTGGGCAGAATACTTTTGAGCTAAGTTAAAGAATCAAGGTCAATAAAAAGGTTATGGTAGTCCAGATACAATTTTTATGGATCCAGTGTTCAGATGGTAAGATTATATTGTATAATGGCTGTGTTGTTGGTAATTGAGGTAAATAATATTGCCAGGAGTTAAAGCCTAGAGGACTTTTTGGTGCTAGTGGTTCAGTATTTTTGAGTGCCTGCTGGGCACTCAAACTGTGTCTCCTTAGGATTCAGGATCCTTGCACACTATTACATATATTCTGTATTTTCCAGGGCCTTGTGTAATTTCACAGTTTGATTTTTGTTTCTTAATGATTCCTGGGGGCTAAATGTATGCACACAAGAACCAGGCTGAAGTAGAAAGTATTTTGTATCCTCTGATTCAGATCGCCTCAACCTCCCAAGTGTACTAGTGTTGAACAGCTGTGGGATTACCTGTGCAGGAGATGAGAGAGAAATTGCTGCCTTCTGTGCTCATGTGTCGGAACTCGACCTTTCTGACAACAAACTCGAAGACTGGCATGAGGTAGTATTTCTATATTACTGTGTTTTGGTGAAAGGCAGAGATACATAATGTCATTGTTTACGTCATTATGCATTCTGACGACTGAATTCTGGTTCTCACTTGAGAGTCTTACTGTCTGTATGTCTCAAGATAAACATCACTGTATCAGCTACCTATGGTGATTTTTCAGATAGCTTTGTTGTTGTAACTTGTTTTTTCACCAAATGAAAAGCACTGAGGGGCTTGATTCTAGGCACTAAGAGTTTGATGAGTCTCCAGAGGTTTTGACTGCTAATAATGAGTTAAGTTCGCCGTCATTTCCTCATTTATGCATCGTATGGTCTTTCTTTACTTCTGCTTCAACATTTATTACTATAAATTGGCATAAAGTTGCTACAGCTTGAAGATTATAACAAAGATTTGGAAATATTCAGATTATAAAAATATGTTCTGCTACTGAAATTTATTCCAAATATTTTAGAACTTTTGATATATTATCAAGTTTCTCTGGTTGTTTGACATAATTAATGCCCTTCTAAGTACACAGATAACAGCATTACAACATTCTCCATTATTATTAAAGACAGCATTAACTACTTGATTATAATTTGACCTGAGAAAAGCTACTATGAGGAATAAGGAAAAAATAGTTCTTCCTACTTGGTTCTTCTCCTACCTCATCTTAAGCTTGTATTTTTTGGCTTTGACTGTAGGAGAAGTTTCCTAGTGGGCATTCCTGGATATGATTCTGTCGTGCTTCCTCTGGTCTTCCACAGTGCCATCACAGCTCCTTTTAGCAAATGAGTCATCATATGGTACCCTACACAAAGTCCTTCAGTTGCCTTTCATTGCCTAGTAACTAGAGTCTGAATTCCTTAAGCATGACCCTCCATCATATGGCCTGGAGTAGTTTCTAGAACTTCATCCCCATCTTTAGCTGTGTACTTTTTGTTGCAGCCCATGATAAATGCATGTCATGAAAAACTTCCTTGCTTCTATTCATCTGGAATTCACTGCTCTCTTTTTCCTCTTGTCTGCTGGCCACTTCCTATTTATCCTTTAAGATTTAGCCCACGTTGCTATTTCTCTGTGAAATTTTCCCTGGCTATCATTCAGGCAGAGTCATATTATCCCAGAGCACCTGTGCCATACTCCTGTGAAAGGACTTACCACAGAGTGGTGTAGTCACTTGCTTATTTGACAGTTTTCCTACTAGACTGTGAGCTTATTTCAAGGGAGGAGTTTTGTGTTTTGTTATCATCAGTGCCCAGCATACTAGGTAGTTGAATGTTGAATATGTTAATGAATAAATGATGATATCTTAAAGATTGTTAAAGACCACTTGCTCCAACTTGTTCTGTGATCTTAAGAAACTCACCTAATTCTTTCATGCTTCAGTTTGGTAATCAATGAGACAGACTTGCTGATGAAATCAATCATTGAAGCACTTTGTAGATGTTAAGTGCTGTATAAATCCTAAGACAGCTTTCTTGTTTAAGAAAACTCCATAACATAGTTTGTTCAGCTTTTCTTATGTTTCATGGTCTTGTTTAATCTGATAACTGCCATGTTATATTTCCTATTTTTATTAGGATTTTTACCAGAATTCTTGGAGATACCTGTCACATGATTATGCAGATTTATAGGGCTGTTTAAAAAAATAATCTCTATTTTCACATTTACCTATTTACTTATCTGAACAACTAGTGTAGTTTACTATTCAAGAAATGACAGTCTTCACTCTCTTGGTTCTCTAAGACACCCGATTGCCATTCATGCTCTTTTCACACTGCACAAATGCGGAAAGGACTACCTCGTTTATCCTCCTCCTCCTTGCTGGTGCTCCTCAGTCCTGCGACGGAAGCTCTGGTGAGATTTGTGGTCTGTGTGGGCGATACGTCAGACCAAATCATCCACTGAATGCTGCTGTGTTCATATACCATAACCTCTAAATTTGTTTCTTTGGGGGGTATATAATTTCACAAAGGTTTTGTGTTTTTTGTTTTGATGTTTGACTATGCACATGAACTTTTACTAACTGGTAGGAGCAGTTTAATAATGATGTAGTTGCCACTTCAGAGGGGAGATGTATGTAGTGTGGATCAGTACCTAGATCTAAGTAGCTGAGCTTTTTCTCTGCTTCAACAGTGTTTCTCAGGCCACACTGACATACAGCCAGCGGGTCACATATTTATTTGTAACCTGCCTTTGCTCAGTGTGTGTGTTCTGCATGTAGTTGGTGGTCAGTTATTAGTTGCTTAATTTCAGTTTCCCATTTTCCAGTTTATTCTGTTTACATCATTTCTTTATATTTCCTCCATAACTGTGACTGTAGTTGATCCCAATTATATATAATAATATATATAATATCTATCTAACTATATATATAATATATTTCAGAGCATAAAGAGTTGGGAGAAATACTAACAGCAAAGGAAATATTGATTTTTGGCTTTGATTAAAGTCTTTGCCAGGCTACCAAGTACCTCGTAGTTCAATGGCTTCAACCCCATTACAACCCATATGTCTGATTACCAAACAGATCATTTGACCCTAGCCATTAACTAAGTTGACCTCAGCCAGTATTGACATAGCAATGTGGAACAAAATAATGTTGTGAGTTCTTTCATTTTGCTGAATGATCTCTAAGATTGTGAATTATGAGTAACTTTTTTTTGTAGATTAAACTCTTGGCTGGTGTATTTCCAAAGTTTAAAACACGTATGGGTGAGAACTGTACTTTTTTGAGGGGAAGCAAAGATTTATCTTTACCCTTCTAAAAAATTGAGTACCCATGTGTGAAACAAAATTTATTTTTCAGCAATTGTCTTAAATTTTTGGCTGAGTAGAATTTTGTGTGACCTTTTCCCAAGGCATCTCCTTTTTTCTCCTTTCCTTTTCAGAACCATTTTATAAAAGAAATTAAACCAAGTAGTTGAAAGGAGGGAGGAATTAGCCAGTCAGGTGAGGTAGAGAGTAGCTTGGGTATAAATTACAGATTATTATCTTAAAACCTTTTCCCCATTTTCCTTAAATCTTTAGTTTCTTCCTTTTTAGCAGCCAGAGTGGAAGATGCCCTATTAAGTCATGGAACTTTGGAGGCCTTAGAGGTGATCTAAGTTCATCTCAGAGTTTCTACACATGAGCAAACTCAACTAATTCCAGCTAGAGAAGTCTTTTTATTTGTAGACTTTTAAAAAGTAAAATTGATATACTGCCCTAGAAACTCAGTGGAATGTTTGTGTTAATCAATGTTGTATTTCCCCAAATCTTACAATTTGAGGTTGCAAGGAAAGTCTTCTTTACTTCTGCCCTTTAAAAAACATTTCTTTCTAACATATATCCTTCTTTTCTATTTGAATTATTAGATTCTAGTCCAACTTTACATCTTAAGATATACAAATCATCATTGTAAACCTATATTCTCATTGTTCAATAGTATAGGTGCAGACCATGAAGATTATATCACACATTTATTAGTTGTGGGAGGTCTCCCAGAAATTGTTTTAAAACCCTTAAGTTATCCATTTTTTGAGCATTTTCCTCTTTTTTTAAAAATGAAATGTAGGGGGATGGCTTGTTTTGTTTCTATTTAACTGCAGTTGTTTTATAATTAGCAGTCATTCTTCATGCTTTAGATGGAGCAAAATTCCAGGTTTTTTTCACTCTTAAAAGAGGTCAACTATTACTGGTCATAATCTTCTTTATGAAAGTCCTCCGTGTCACTCATGTCATAGAATGCAGTACAGGCCTGGTCCCTGTACACACTATTTGCTGTGTTGTAGTCACAGGTTGAACTCTTGATTCTTGCCATACTTTGCACAAATGTTTGGTACCACCTGATCACAAGAAGGATTGAGAGAGAGAGTCTGTGCAGACTGGTATAAATTCTATATATTTTATCAGAAAAGCCTAGTGTATTTTCTCTAAAAGGTAGCTTGTTTCTTCATTTGCAAAATGAGAATAAGAGTGGTACCCACTACAAAGGGTTAGTATTTGGAATAGATGAAATAGTGAACACGAGGACCTTTTCCTCTGCCATGCTTTTCTGAACCTGCTGGGAGTTCCTTTCTGATTTTAGAGCTCCTTAGTTTCCATGGTTCTCCCCTCTGGATATACTTTTGGTAGTATCTCCAGAGCTCTAAAAAGAAACCCATATCCATATCCCAGCCCTGAAGCTTGTCCCACCTGTGAAGTTTTGATTCTGTAGTTCATGGGGGAATCTGGGAATTTGTATGTTTTGAAAATTCTACCAATGATTCTGATGAATACCCAGGGTTGAAAAATTGGCTCATACCATTCTTACCATATTAGTAATAGTTACATCTATTGAATGATCTTGTATCATTAGTTTATTTGATAAATACTAAGTGGCCCACTAGTCCTGCTTTCATGGATTACATGTGATTGCGGGGGTACTAAGAAAACATTTCAAAAAGGTGATAGTTGCTGTGCTGAGTGCCTTACACATGCATCTCATTTAATCCTATCTATATTCCTGGAACAGGCAAACGTGAGGCTGTGAGTTCCAACCCTGTAACACCAAAAAAAAAAAAAAAAAAATTGGAACATAGATGGATACTTTCTCTATTTTATAATGAGTAAACTGAAAAGGTTAAGTCATTTGTCTAAAACCACACAACTAGGAAGTGTTGGACCTGGTTAAACCCAGGTTTTTAACTCTGAAACTAAAGCTAACTATTCTTTTCTATTCGTTTTTCCATAACTTAATTACCACATTGCCTGGCTGTTTGATGCTTACTTAATACATTTGTGGGGCATGTAGCATTTATTCCATACTTGTTTAAGTGAATCCTTCTCATTGACTGTGTCAACTAGTTTGTCTGTTCAGGTTTTTTCATGTTATATTTATGATGTACGAAGTTGAGGTATACTGGAAAGAGTTATGGCTCTGATTTTTTAATTCAGTTTTGACATTTGTGACTGTGAGACCTTGGTCAAATTATTTAATGCCTCAGCTTCAGTTTCCTCACTTACTAGAGTGAAAGTAGTCTTATCTTGCAAGTTGTTTTGAGAATTCAATGAAATAAACTATATCAAAGAGACTAATACTATGCAACAGTTAAAATTTCAGTCATTTCCTCTCTTGTCTGTCAAGTTGCTAGCTAAATAATTAAATTGATGATCATGCTTTATCTTTCACTATATTGTTGTGGATGCTTTGGTTTTTGATAAGTATATTTTAAAGTTTGGTACATCTCTGAACCAAGCTGAACTTTTCTAAATGATTATGGCTATGTAGTTTTGACACATGACTTGTTGCCAGGTGGTTTTAAAGAAACCATTCATTAGCCTTCATGTTGTGCTGGGAATCAGAGGAAGATGATATTCTAAGAGAATTACATGACCTAATCTCAGCTGCTTAAAAATCTACATCCTAAACTTTAGACTAAACTAAATGATTAGTTTAGTCATCTGAACTATCTCTTTTATTTTTATTTATCAAAGAGAACATCATATAGAGCAGACTCAGAAGCCTGGCTAATGGTGACATAGGAAGTTTTTCTTTTGTACCATTAATTCTCACCTGTGCTACTGTTTCACAGAGAGATTAAATTATTTGTAAGATTTGTTGAACCACTTATGCTGCTCTGGGTATGGTCACTAAGTAGGACTCCCTGCAGTAAACAGCTCTTTGCCTGGGGACTCACTCACTTGGGCCTTCGTGAGAATGATTACTATTTAAAAGCTCTGATTACTGCCTGATATGCTTTTTTTTGTTTTTCTCCCTAGGTCAGTAAAATTGTGTCAAATGTTCCTCAGTTGGAGTTTCTAAACCTGAGTTCCAACCCTCTGAATTTGTCAGTTTTAGAAAGAACATGTGCTGGATCCTTCTCTGGGGTTCGCAAACTTGTCCTCAACAACAGCAAAGCTTCATGGGAGACGGTCCACACAATACTACAGGAGTTACCAGAGTAAGCCGGAGAGCATGGTGGACAGGGAGCTATGTGGCCATCTGTGTTAGTCCGTAGAGTTACTGCTGATCTCCCATCTCAGAAACACTAGAACTGCAGATTGAATGGAGAAAGAGGTTAGAAAAATGAAGTCTTTAGAATGAGGGTGTGAGGGTAATCTGGTAGTGCTGAGTGGCTTGAAGATGGGGGTATGGCATCCTTTGGCTAGAAAATACCCCTGTGAAGCACTTACCCTTTCCAGATCCGCTTTTTCCATTTCAGTCTTCGATGACCTGATTTAAAAATAGGGCATCAGCCCTTTTTTTTGGGAAGAAAAAAAATCATAGAATCCCAAATATATTAACATTCAGACAATTAAGTACCTCTCTGGCCTGATGGGAAAATGTATCTCAATAATTTAAGAAGGAAATTGTACTTTTATCAGTTTGGAAATGTGTTACCATGTTTATGCTCAGAAGTGTGCAGGGAAGTAGTATAAAGAAATAAATGAAGCTGCAGTTTCTTTGGCTATACAAATAGGAAAATTGTCAAAGCCCTTCAGAATCTCATCTCAATACTACTTACTGCTTCTTGATTTCTCGCTCTCACTCTAATGAGATTGGTTTCTTCATTGAATGCAGCTTCTAGCATGACACTGAATGGGTTTTTAAGTCCCCATTCTGCTTACTAACCATATGACCTTGACAAGCTACTTAACCTCTTTGAGCTCAGTTTCCTTGTCTGTAAAGTGGGATTGTTATAATTATCTTTCAGAAATAGAAGTAAAATCTATTATGTTCCTGGCACAAGGCTTGACAGGGTAGGGATTCAGTAGTTATTTCTGTCTATTAACATTTGTTCATGTTTCTGGAATTGTCTGTCTTTTTTTTTTTTTTTTTTTGCAGTACTGGAGTTTGAACTTAGGGCCTTATGCATGCTAGGCAGGTACTCTATCCCTTGAGCCTGTCCACCAGCAAGTCCACCCCTTCTTAATGCCACATGTCCTTTCCTGGTTATTCTAACTACAATTTCAAGTTCGTTCCTATATGAATCACTAAATGATTGTTCTTAGAATTAGTGCTACTTAATTTAGCATTTAATTATTTAAGCACAAGATTAACTTGGTGCTAGCTCATAACATTCTCTGTTGTTTTTTAGACTTTAGCCATTGTTTTCCCAGCTGTACAGTATTTTGAGCTGCAGGAAGACATTCTTGTATTTTCTCTGCAATATCTTCCAGAGTCTCACATATGCTAGGTACTCATTTATTTATTGAATGTGTGAAAACAGGTGTAAAGCAGAAACTAAACTGCCTTAAGCAATGAAATATTTCCTTTTTTCTCTGCAGTTTGGAGGAGCTCTTCCTGTGCCTTAATGACTATCAAACAGTGTCTTGTCCTTCTACTTGCTGTCATTCTCTTAAGCTCCTACACATAACAGACAATAACCTCCAAGACTGGACTGAAATACGAAAGTTAGGAGTTATGTTTCCTTCACTGGACACCCTTGTCCTGGCCAACAATCATTTAAATGCTATTGAGGAGCCTAATGATTCACTGGCCAGGTTATTTCCTAATCTGCGATCCATCAGCCTCCACAAGTCAGGTGAGGTATAGCTTTGTTCTCATTCTATATGCAAATTGTTCTGAGCTTATGCATGAAACGTAATAGAAATATATTTCAGCCACAGCTATACCTTTTTATAGGATGAATTTCTATCATGACATGCATATGCCTATAGATTGACTAAATTTAAAGCATTCATTTTCATAAATGTTCTGATAAATATTAAGTAGCATAGCATTATATTAGTAATTCATATTTTATAAATTAAAGGGATCATGTTGTGAAAGGAATGAAACAAAATTGATGAATTAGATAATAAAAGGCAGAATTTAAAAAAGAATTCCAAACTAGATCATTTTATCTGGACTTGGAGTAAGGAATCCCAATCTCCTATGTCCTTTCAGATGCAACTTTTATAGTATGTATATATAATTATTAGTTTATTGCCACCTGATCCTGTGTACCACAGAAATAAATATATTTAACCCATTTTTTAATTAACAAAATTTATTTTTAGAGCAGTTTCAGATTCACAGCAAACTTGAGTAGAAGTGCAGAGATTTTCTGTGTCCCTCTGTTCCTGCATACTTCTCCCACAATCAACATCCAACACCCAAGTGGTACATTTGTAGCATTTCAGTCAGTGAATCTGCATTGACATATCACTATCACTCAGAGACCATAGCTTACCTTAGGGCTCACTCTTGGTGTTGTACATTCTGTGGGCTTTAACAAATGTACAACAATATGCAGTCCACATTGTGATATTGGCAGAATGTTTCTGGTGCCTTGACAGTCCCTTGTGTGCCACCTGTTTATCCCCTAACCTGGCAACCACTGACCCTTTTGTTGTCTCTATAGTTTTGCCTTTTCTAGAATGTCATTTATTTAGAATCATACAGTATGAAGCCTTTTTATATTGGCTTTTTTTCACTTAGTTTTAATATACATTTAATACCTCCAAGTCTTTTCATGACTTGATAGATCATTTCTTTTAGCCCTGATTAATATTCCACTTTCTAGATGTACCACAGTTCATTTATCCTTCACCTATGGAAGACTCTTGGTTGCTTCTAAGCTTTGACAGCTGTGAATAAAGCTTCTATAAATATTGTGTGCAGGTGTTTGTGTGGATATGTTTTTAACTCACTTAGGTGAATACCAAGGGTACTATTGCTGGATCATATGGTAAGAGTATATTTAGTTTTGTAAGAAACTGCAGCCTGTCTTTCAAAGTATCTGTGCCATTTTGTATTTCCATCAGTGTCGACCAATAGTTCCCACATCCTTGTCAGTGTCTGGTATTGTCAAGGTTTTAGACTTTGACACCTATTTTAATACAGGTAATGTGGTATCTCATTGTTTTAATTTGAAATTTGTCAGTGACATATGGGAATGAACATCTTTTTATATGCTTACCATCTGTATATCTTCTCTAGTGAGGTGTATGTTAGGTATTTTGTACATTTTTAGTTGGGTTGTTTGTTGAGTTTTAAAAGTTCTTTGTACATTTCAGTTGGCGGTTTGTCACCAAATGTGTCTTTTGTAAAAAAATTCTCCCAGTCTTTTGTTCTCATTCTCTTAACATTGTTTTTCATCCTCTTTCTTAAAAACAACTGTGTAATTAAAAATAACTCTAACCTATAACTGAAAAAAATGAACTGAGTTTAATTTATCATGAGTAGGGAGCACAAGGAAGTTATTTCACAACTTTGCACTCCTTGACCTAACTATTCTTGTACCTAGGGAAAGCAGACAGTTGTGACTTTGGATAGTTATGTAGCAGAGTCCTCATGAGTTGCTTCTCTGCTTTTACCCTCAATGAAGATCTATAGAAATAGGAAGGGACTGTATTGTCTGAAACAGATTTCCTGTGTTGTAAAATTGACTAGCTTAATCATTTTAGGAATTTTGTTTTATTTGGAAGGCCTGCCTGATTTAGAAATTAAGTATTGACTTGGATGATACATTTGCTCACAGCTAACCATTTTAGTATTAAAAATCTTAATTTGTTGTGTGTTTTCCTTACCCAGAGGTTCAGTTTGCTGTTTTTGTTTGTTTTAATAATGATTTTGGATGTCTCCCCTGTCACCAAAATGAGTACAGAAGGGATAATATTAGTTTTGGATTCTACTGAGTTTGCTCCATTTTAAAATATGTTAGGTAAAAATTTGGTATGACAGTATCAACTCTAATCAGTAGCCACACATTCCATGAGTCTATGTTTGAGTAAATGAATTGATCAAATCACCTTTTTAAAAAGTATGGCATGGCTCCTGCTTATTTAAACATTTGTGATCCCAATTATAAGCCATTTTGGTAGAATCTGGAGAAGAGAGGATATTGGAGAGCAAGGCTCTCTCTCCTTCACCACTGAGATTGTAGATACAGGGGAGGCTCTGAATTTTTTGTTTGTTTGCTTTTCCTTTTGTTTTTGAAACAGGGTCTTAACTATGTTTTCCAAGCTGGCCTTGAACTTTCAATCCTCCCGAACTTTTCATTCCTCCCTGGAAGCTTTGAGTACAGCCTATATCACTTTGCCTCTTTATCTGGGAAAGTTTTTACGATGTTTAACTGTATTCAGTCTTTCCTTGGATAGGGGAAATGTCAGGCTCTCTACTTTATGATTATGTTACTATTTCAGAAATTATTGAGTCATTGTCTCTTATTTGTATACTTTCTTGTATTTACTTAAACAATATCTTTTTCAAATTAGGTTTGCAATCCTGGGAAGACATTGACAAACTAAACTCATTCCCCAAACTTGAAGAAGTGAGATTGTTAGGAATTCCTCTTCTGCAGCCATATACCACTGAGGAGCGAAGGAAATTGGTAATAGCCAGGTCTGTTGTCCTGATTTCTTCTGCTTTCTTTTGCTTCATTAGAGGGATAAGATGCTGTTTGAGGGTAATGCACTATGAACTTACCTATCTCTTGACAGTTTTTGAAGAAGCTTCTTCTGTTTATCCGAGTCCTGGATAAAAAGGAATGTAATATGTGAGAAAAATGTGAAGTATAGTTTTCCTGTGGAGCCCATTGAAAATTCCTTTGCATATCTATTCTGTTTCTATGCTTTTCAATAATCTGAATATTTGAAGTCCTGTTTCAGGTCACAAGATCTATCTAATGGGGAATCTTTTCTACTGAGGTGTCCTTATTTCCTCTGTTAACATAGTGGTCATTTATAGTGTTGTAGATACTTAGGAATAGGGCTATTTTAGTAACACCTGTATTTTCCTCTTGAATATACATTGACTTAAGTATGACTACTGCTATTATTGTCTACTTTCTCTGACTCCCTTGCCTTTTATGTCCCAGATGCTGCCTCTACAGACTACTGAAATTTCTCACGAGTGTGCATTTCTGTATGAACCATTAATAGATATAAGATTTTGGCGATAGTGGGAAGGGCCATGGAGCTTTGCTTTGTTCTCTTTGTGCCCTGGACATAGTAGTTTTGAAAGAGGAGCAGTAGACTTTAAGGTTCCCTAAAGAAGATTGCTCTTTAAACTGGGTATTGATCTTTCTGACCAACTAATACCCAGCAGATCCTTACTGCTTGGTAGTTGTTCACATGCACATTAGTGTCGCGCTGAAGAAGGAAATAGCAGTGTACTTTTCTTTTAAGAAGAGTCTTATGCTTTATTTTCTTTACATAGTTCTTTTACAAATACAATAAATTCCTGAATTACAGAATTATACTAACTATTCTCTATACATGTGCTATTTAATATGGGAGCTGCCAAATATTTTTAGTAATTTAAAATGTCTTTATTTTTGTTTTAACTTACAGATTGCCATCAGTTTCCAAACTTAATGGCAGTGTTGTTACCGATGGTGAACGAGAAGATTCTGAGAGATTTTTTATTCGTTACTATGTAGATGTTCCACAGGAAGAAGTGCCATTCAGGTAAAATCTCTCATTAGCTTAGCAAAACATATTAGAATATTGAGCCAACTTAAGAACTACTAATTTAGGGCAAAATCTGATCATTTGTTATTAGTTCATTCTTAAAGTACTCTGGTAATAGGCTTAAAAAAGAAAAGGAGAAATCAAAAAAGTGAACCTTTTTATCTCATTTTCCACAGTATATTTCTTCTAGCCTTGCATTTGTATTAAGGATGATTGGGTAAGCACGTGATTAAATCCAGTACTTCACACTCCATAGTTCGTGTCATTAGTTCCTGTTTTGGTCCTTTTCAGGGGCACATTTTCACCTACACCAAAAATTAGTTTTCTTTGGCTATATTGCATCTGATTTTAGGATATACTAAGTCTTATAATTTAGAAGTCTTGGCAAGTGAGCAGTAGGTGCACAGAATATGAAAAATAGATTCTTAAAGAAATATTAAAAGAATTAAGATGGTTGACTGTGAAAAGAAATGCTGGAACTAAATTAGTAATTACCTGTAAGTATATAAAGTTAGGCTGTATGTGTAATTGTTTTCTGACACTGATGATATAATTATCCTAAAGTGCATTAATGCCTCTGGACTACTTGCTCTTCTAGAATGGAGGTCATACAAACCAACTTTGATTAAACTTAGTCAGAGAGAAACTTAGGATATTGGGAGACTGAAAAAATTGTCAGGCAGAATGTAGAACTGTGCTTAGGCTGGGGCCAAGAAGGCAAGGACAGCCATGGTTCCAACACATATTCTGCTTCAAATATTGCTGTGGGCACTGTGATCTCTAGACACAGCAGTGCTGGATTTTACACTGCACACTTGCGGCTCTGTTGTTGAACTTTTGATTTCCCTGTGAGAGCTAAAAATTTCATGACTGGCCTTTTTTTCATTAAAAAATATTAAGTACCTATCACGTGACTGTGCCATTGTAGGTGCAGTTAACAAAAGTAAACAAAATTCCTGCTGTTTGGAGTTCACATTCTAATCTCTCATGGACCTTCATTCCCCAGGAATCAAAAATCTACCGGGTCCAACTTACTGCCTGTGTTTAGGGCATGTGCTCACACTCTGTCCCATGATGTAGGGAGAGGACTTATCTGCTTTATTATACTTTCTTACACATGGGGATAATTCGTCCCATGAAGCCTCTTCCACTCCCCTGCAACTGTGCATTCTACCTGCCCTTAATGCATCCCTGGTACAAAGGAAAGCACATTTCTCCCTCCTGAAATACCCAGGTCTTATGAATTGCTGAATTTAGTTCTGAGTCTTGGATCTTTAGGTGCTTATCCACTTCTGCTTTATTTCTGTATTTTAAAACTTATTGACTTCAGTTGTGGAGTTAATCACTCCAGCATACCCTTCATAAAATAATGAGGAAAATAGGGAGGAAAGAAAAAGACAGTCAACTAAAATTTTTAAATGTGCACTTGATACAACAAAGAACAATAAATAAATATGGTTTGACACTCTAAATTTTCTCTTCTTACCCAGGCGTCACAATTGGTATTTATGACTTCCTCTCTGCTAGCTCCCCTTTTTGTCTGCTTGCAATTAGTGTTGACTTCAGGGAATCTAGTTGGGCAGTGCTTTTTACCTGTTTGGGGGTAAAGAGTAGTAGATCTAAATCTTTTTCTTCATGGGATCTGCACCCTTGGTAGTTTTACCTGTGTATGGTTTCAGCAGTCTTGGATTTTTTTTTTTTTTGATGTCTAGAGTAGGAATACCAGGAGATACCAGCATAAATGCTCTGGATTCCATCTATACTTGTATATCACTCCTTTACTTCCTCTTGACAATAAGATCACTTATCTTGGCTGACATTTAAGCCCCTTTATTTTGGAGGGGGTGCTTTGAACCAAGTTATTTGTAGAACTTAAAGTGAGTAGTTGGGAGTCTTGACTTCAATTAGAAAAGCAATTGTAAGTGGCACTGGGGGCTCATGCCTGTTCAGGAAGCAGAGTTCAGTAGGATTACGGTTCAAAGCCGGCCTGGGTAAATAGTTCGCGAGACCCTATATTGAAAATACCCAACACAAGAAAACAGAGCTGGTGGAGTGGCTCAAGTGGTAGAGTGTCTGCCTAGCAAGTGTAAAACCCTAAGTTCAAACCCCAATACCATCAAAAACAAAGCTACTGACTTGTAGTTAGTAACCTAGAGCATCAAATCTTGCACATTTCTTTTTAAGGTTACCTTGGTTGTTTATTGTAAGAGAAAAAATATATGTATGTATGTATAATTGTGATAGGGTCTTGCTATATAGCTCAGGCTAGTCTGGAACTTACTTTGTAGTGCAGGCTAGCCTTGAAATCACAATTTTCCTGCCTCTGCCTTCATAGTGCTTCAGTTATAGGCCCATGCCCAGCTAAAAGAAGACTTCTTAATAGGTACCTGGGTGCCCTGAGCAAAATTTATGGAGATCTGACTTTAGTATTCTTTTTATTTAAGCTATCTTGTAACATAGAATAGCAGATGTTGTACTTGTGGCCTTGAATTTTTCATGCCCTTTGTTCTTGGCAGCACTCTGTCAGTCATCGAGAGTTTTCTACATGATCACAGGTGACGATTCCCTATTTTACTACTCCGTGTTAAGGACTTACAGAATGTCCTCCATGGACACTAATATGATATTCACTGGCCCCTGCAAGGCCACAAACCAATTCCAAAGTGCCCTGAATTGCCTAAGGGCCTATTGCATATAATTTACTTCCTGTTATTAATTTCTTCGTGCAAACAACAGAAATCAACTCTGGCCAACTTAAATAGGACAGGAATTTAGTAAAAGAATAATGGATACTGTGTAGCTCAAAGAATTGACAAGAAGATGAAAAAGTTAGGCTTGGGCAGGATTGATGAAGATTTCTGTGTCTGGCTATCTGAATGGCATGCTTCTGACACTGACCCCTGGACAGTCATCTGCAAGCTTGCTGGCCTTCATTGCCATAAGACACTTATCAGTTCTGCCTTTGAATTCTTGACTCTTCTGTATCTATTGTTAATAATCTCAGTTAGATCTTGTATCTTTGCATTAGTCCAAAATTCCAGGTTCTAGCTTCCAGGGAGGGGAGAAAGAGAATATCTTATCTTCATTTTTTTCAAGTTCTTTTAGGCTTCTGCATCTCATGTGTCTTGTGTTCCCTTCTCCACCTCCCATTCAGAAGATCAGTTGTGTTACATAGCCAAAGGTGTTATGTATCCTCTAAAATACCTGTTCTCTAGTAGTTTTTCATGTGATTTTCCCTGGTGGAATTTTCCACTCACTTAGCACATATTTTTTAAGTCCCTGTCATGTGCCAGGAACTATGTTAGACACTTGTAAAGGAACTATAATGGCTTTCATGATGATAGCAATGGGCAGTCCTGAATAAGAACCCAGAAATGTATATTAAAATATGCTAATCATGAATTAAGAATAGTGATATACAAACAGAGTGTCAGGACTATACTTGTCTCTTTTTGCCGTAAATACTAATGAGTGATGAATTAGCCCAGTGCATAGCTATTAAAGGTAAGAATTTGGCCCTTTAAATAATTCAGTATCTCTTACAGAATCACAGTTGGACTTTAGTTTCCAGGAAAGATAGAGAAAATTTGTTTTGGAGAAAACATTCCATTTGGCCATGTGTATGTGTACATATATATCTATCTATATATATATATATATATATATACAATATGTGTATGTATATATATACAATATGTATATATATACAATATGTATATATATATATACTATATATGTATATATATACAATATGTATGTATATATATGCAATATTATATATAATCAATATTCAACTCCTCGAATTTCCTGTGAATGTTAACTTCCACCGAAACCTTCCCTTAGCTTGGTTCCCTGAGCTCTTCCTTCTCCTTTCATTTCCTATGTTGTATCAGTTAAACATGAAACAGCTCTATTCACTTGGACATAAGTAAGAAAGGTTACCTAAACTGTCTTTAAGGGCATGAATAAGGAGCCATTATGATCCACTGAATGCCCTTTATGGTAGCAAAGTTATTTTGTGAGTCAGATGATTTATTCACATCTTTTTCCGTAGATTAGTCATTTTGCCAATAGACATCTTTAAGAATGATCCACATATTTATGTGTTTTGTTTTCCTATCTTAGAATAAAATGTTTAGGGGATTGAAGAGAGACATATTTCAGTGTTTTAAGTGTATCTTTTGTAGTTTTGTCATTGCTTAGAGGTGCTTAGTTAGCCATTTTATACCCTTGTCCTGATAGGTAGAGCTGGAAATGTAGCCTCCTTATAATAGCTGCTTATGGTAATAGTGGACTAACACAAAAACTGAGCTGTCAGTTGTATGCTTCATGTTTATTTACTTTGTGAAGTAACCAAAGATGAAAAGCCCTTGTTTTCTGATTCTTGGCCTTTGGACATCATATTGTTTGCTTTTCTACTCAATAGACTCTTTCTTTTAAGGCCTTCATCTGTGCCTTGTCTCTCACTGGCTTGTGCAGCAGTGGTGTGCTGTTTCACAATAAGTCCAGTGTGTGCTGCAGGTGATTGAAAAGATGCCCTCACTGGGCTGGTTGTATTTCAGTTACTGGACTCTTCTGCCTAACTAGGAGAACTTCTAGGAAATAACTCCAGATACTAACTGGTTTTCAAAGAATAGTTTAATTTGTTTACTGAATACCTACTATAAACCAAGAGAAACTGGACTAGAAACTGGAGATAAAAGGAGAAGAAAAGTAGTGTCCACTCTCATGAAGCTTGCCCTTGGGCTAGATCCTCCTCATGTTCCTGACCTCTAAAGGTTTAGTTATCCCAGGCCTTTGTCCCTGGTCCTGTTCTCTTCTGTACTCATTCTCTTCACACTTTCACACTTTTAGCAAGTTCTATCACTAAATACCTTCTGTAGTCTAATAACTGCTAGATAGATACCATCATCCCTGACTGTCCCCTAAATTCCAGGTTAGTATTTCCAACTTGACACTGTCACCTTAGTCCTGAAAGCTAATTGTATAAAACCAAA